GTACAAAGCAGTGAAAATCATTAATAGGCAATCGTTCGATGGGCTGAACTGCATAAAACGCATGACTGCACCGGCTAGTCTGGTGTGCGTTGCTATTTATTTTTCAACAGATGCGCACTTATGTTCTGGTGTAACCTGAGTCAATTTTTCCCAGTGGCGATTTACGGTATTTTGTTTTAGCACAGATAATTATACTGAGACTGCAGTATTTTCCAGAACAATCTAGTAATGAATGAACTGCAAAACAAGACTACCGAAAGGCAGAGATAAGTTTTAGTTCTTTTGCAGCCATTATTTGTAAAAGTCAGTCTTCCCGTTTTATTTGGTATCTGTAAAACTTGAAGATATCCCAAAGTAACATTGGCGCATAGGCGCATCAACTGTTATTAAAACATTTTAAGGATTTCTTTTGAACACTTTTTTTCATTCATTTCTGCTGATGATTATCAGTCTTGCTACAAATATATACACACATTACGAAGTGCAGGTGCTTTAGAAAAAGCGTAAAAAGCTTCATCTTTGCTCAGAAAAGTAAAAGCAATTCGTTATTCCTGATTTATTTTTTGGTTATTGTAAAATGTCTTTTAGTGTTGAAAATTTTAGTTTAAATTAAATCAAAATCCTTCTCACTTTTCCTGTTACGTAAAGGCATCCCGCAATTGTTCAAGAGACAGCATCCATCTACTGCCAAGACTGCCGATGGCCTTTTCGCTAATTTTTTAACTGCAGGGAAAAAAGCCAGCAAAGCCCGAAAAGCAAGCATTGCTAATTTAAAGAAATTTATGCTTTGAAATCCACACAAGAAAAGGTACCATGAAATCTTCCTCAGCATCCAAAGCGCAAATTCCTCGGCCACAGCTGTCTTGTCGAAGCTTTTCGTTTGCAGCCACGCGGAAAATATGGTTGTCCTTGGAACGTGTATCCCAAAGACGAACCGTACCATCCTCGGATGCACTGAGAAACACATTTGCTGACTGCAGTGCTAATTCATTAACGTATTCGTCGTGACCACTGTACGTTGCAATTATCTGCAGTGGACATGAAATATGATGCACAGGTTAAAGTTATTTCATGAACCGGTGACCGGCAACTATTAAAACTCGGCTCGGCTTGGCCGAGTCGGGAGGCGAATTGCAGTGACATGGGAGTGCCGGATGGAAGACTGGAGACGAGGGAAGCGGGTAAAGAAGAGGAATGTTGGTTTATTTCTCAGAAGTCGTAAGAGAGGGAGGAGGGGAAAAGAGCATGGAACTGTTGAAAGACGAGTCGAGATCTTGCCTGGAGGTAGGAAATGAAACAGAAAGAAGGATTTACAGGAGAGGAGGATCATATGTAGGTCCTTTATACTTAGCATGAAACTTAATACTGAGGAGGAGTTAACAGAGCTGAATTTAACAACCAGAACCATACCTAGACAGGAACTTTGTACTACGATTTTTGCAGTTTGAACATAAAAATAAATGGCAACGCGCACCAGGCTAGCCGGTGCGATCATGCA